GATGAAAACCCGCTGCCGGGGTCCTGTTGTGCCCGCCGGGAGCCGGGGAGTCCTCAGCAGTGCCCGTCTGTCCGGTGCACGCAGGCGTGGGTCAGTCGGTCACGGTATACATCCTGGAAATGCCCTAAACGCGACCTATAAGGAAGCTGGAAAGGGACTTTTGACAAGGGGGTGTAGGAATAAGACAGAGTAACGACTTTATACTGAAAAAATGATAGCTTTAGATTAGATATAACTAAGAAGTTTTTTACTGCGAGGGTGGTGAGGCACTGGAACAGGTTGTCCAGAGTTGTGGCTGCCCCATCCCTGGCAGTGTTCAAGGCCAGGTTGGACACAGGGGCTTTGACCAGCCTGGTCCAGTGGAAGGTGTCCCTGCCTGTGGAAGGGGTTGGAGCTGGAGGAGCTTTAAGGTCCCTTCCAACCGAAACCACTCTGTGATTCTATTTTATTATTGCTCACACCTCTTTGTGATGTTAAGCTTTCTGACTAGTTTACTGCAGTTACAGAGAAGTAGCATTTTATTCAAATGAGCTTCCTGTAGCCATGCAATTCTGCTAAAACTATGTGGCATCATACAGGTAATTTTATTTAACCTGCAAATTCAAATCAGCTTCATTTAGTTACGTAATTCTGGTTAAAATCAGTGGCAGGTATGAATTTACCTTAGGTTATGACAAGAGGCTTGCATTTGAGTTGTCATCCAGAGGTACAGCAGCTCTCCTGGAGATGAGCTCACTGGTTAGATAGTTATGATTCAGGATATGTGTTTATGTATGTACTTAATTGCTTTCTGAAAGTAAGTCTTTTTCCTTGCAGGTTATTACCTTGGTATGTGCTTTGCTGCACCTGAAAAACATCTTTGCTTTTTCTACCTGGCTTCAAAAGGATGGAAAACTTTCTTCTTCTTCGCTGTTCTCTTTCCAGCTGTCACCAGTGCCCTGGCATATTACTGGTCACGGAAAGGTTGGAATAATCATCCATTAGCCCGAACACTTGCTCTTTATGCTCTCCCGCAGTCGGGTTGGAGGGCAGTAGCTTCTTCCATCAATACGGAATTTAGGAGAATTGACAAATTTGCTACCGGAGCCCCAGGAGCGAGGGTGATCGTCACGGACACATGGGTGATTAAAGTGACCACCTACTCTTTACATGTTGCCCAGCAGCAGGACATTCATTTGACAGTGACAGACTCCAGACAGCACGAGCTCACCCCAGACTCAAATATGCCTGTGCAGTTCCTCACCATCCGTGTTGCCAGTATTAATCCCTATGTGAAGGCATTTGATATCCGGTAAAACAACTACCCTTTTATGTTACGTCTGTGCTATTTGATGGTGCTAATGGAGTACTTTTGTGGCAGAGCTGAAGATTCATGTCTCATCCCGTCCTTTTTAGTCCCTGCCTGGTGGTCAGAGATGCTGTGTGTGCAGTTCTGCCACACAGTGCAGTGAAGAAAGGTTGTTTAGAAGGATTCATACAACCACAGTATTGAATGCACAGTGGTTATACAGAGGGACTGCCCTGTTTGATCCTTTCATAGGAAGAGGATTGTGCTGGATGCAGAAAGAACTGGAAAAACTTAGGTGAAAGATGGAGAACAGGAATGAAAGGGAGAATCTTTGTTCTTCCAAATTCTGGGGAAGGAGAAGTAATTATTTGTCTATAACTGGCTGGTTTTCACCCATGACTCTTTTTCCCTCTGCTCAAGGCTCGTGATTTTGTTAGTACTCAGAGTTCTCTCTGAGCTACTACAAACCAACTTCCTTAAATCAAGGAAGTAATCTTGGTCTGTTTCTATGTTCTCATAGCAGCAAATCATAGCAAATATGCTGTAACCTGTCAGGGCTTGTTTTCCAAGGGTGCATGCTATTTTTTTTTCAGCAGTCTCTGCGTAGCTAGGTAAAAGTGCAAGTTCTGCAGAAACCTGTAACACTGAGTAGAAGGATGCTAAAGTCCCGGTTGTCATTAAATTGAGTACAGAAAGCCATATTAGTGCTTCTAAATCTGTGTTTGAAAAGGCCTTTGAGTGTCTGCTTGCTGTGCATTTGTACGACAGCAGGATTTATTAACTATGTAATTAGAAGTAGGCAGATCACCAGACTTGTAGGTGAACAGAGGGGTCCTGGCAATCCAGAAGTCATAGCAGTGATTGCATGAGATACCCCGGTGAAGAGAGCTCAGAATGAGAGATTAGTGAAGGTAAGCGTGAAAATCCTGAGTAGACCCGTGGAGTGGTGACCAAGTAAGTATTAAATAACTAATGATTTTTTTCTGTAAGTGCTTCAGTCCCAGACTGACAAAACTACATCCCCAGCTTAGAAAATCATGTATTTACAATTCCTTTTTAGGGGAAAAAATCTAACCCCCAAAACTTTATTTTGTAACTAAACAGAACTCCACCTAGAACAGTGATTGAAAGTTCTTGTAATAAGATATGTCAGAAATAGCAAGTCTCTGCTAGAAAGCAGTCATACAGGATTTAAGAAAAGTGCCATAGGACAGAATTCCCCTATTAAGGACAAAGGATTATTGTGTATATCCAGAATCAGATTACATACACTGGGATGTTTCTGGAAGAAAAATGCTTTTGTGCAGGCAGGCCACATTTCCCTGAGTGTGCAATGTGAATTTTTCCTCTGCATTGAATGGTCCCTGTTATTTGCACAGATAATAGCATCTGTTAACAAACATTATCCTATAGTAGTTGAAACAATGGAGACCACCAGGTGCTTAAGCTAAGCCAGTATTGCATTGTACTGGGCTCCAGGAAAAAAAGGAATTTCAGGACAATGTTCACAGGGCTTCTCTGTGAAAGCTGTTTAATGAGTGGAAACATCAAGCTGGAGAGTTCTGACTTTACAGCTCAGAACCATTACAATAAATAGGGGTAACAACAGTCATGTGTCACTGCCAGATCTGCATATGGTCTCATGTGCCTCTTGAGGTCTGTGGGCCTCACTTTACTTAGCAGAAGTAAACCTAATGTGATATGCAACTTCTTTCAGCCTTAATTCAAAACATAAGTCACATTCAGCACCTCTTTGTAACCTTCATGAAATTTCAGTTTTATCTAAAATTGAATCATAAAATCACAGAAACTGACACTGATTGACATTATCCTGATACTTCTATGTACTGTATCACCTTGTGATACATGCCACATGATAGAACTCTGATTTCTGTCCTCTGGAATTTACAAATCAGAATTCAGATATGGTCCAAGTAAATAGGAATTAAAAAGGTGGACAGAAATTGAGCATGCAGTACTTTACAGTTGATGCATGACTTAGGTATCTGTATTGCTTTTCTTCATGCTGGTAACTTCAAACCCTTCCTTTATTTTTTGTATGTCTGAGTTAATCTCTGGCATATCCTGTCAGATATAAGGAGGACAGTGTGTTCTATTGTCTTAAGTTGTGTCAAAAACAACTAAAGAGCAAAAGAAAACAAAATACTCAACACTTCCTTATTGACTAGTATGTACCAACCTAAATAGCTTTTGTGTGGATTCACTTCTCTGGTGGTAACCTCTGCAATGTACTGTCAAGGAATTTGAACGGATAATCATGGTAATGTTTTGTTCCATCTTTTGTTCTTCAGGTTGAACTCTACAGAGTATGGGGAGCTCCGAGAAAAGCTCCATGCTCCCATCAGCAATGCAGCTAATGTTGTGATCCATCAAAGCCTTAGTGATTTATTTCTAGAAACCTTTACATCTCTGGTGGAAATTAACCAGACTTACTCAGTTCCAAGCACCCAGGTGAGATTTTCTATCCATGTGAGACTGTAATCATTATACTTTTCAATACAGCTGAGCCTGTGATTACTGTGTCATTGATAACTCTTTCTTTAGGGCTGTCGAAGGTGAATTTTAAGGTAAGTCATTGTCATGAGGTTAACCAAAAGGTTTCATGGTTCAAAGCTGATTAAATGATAATTATTACATGGTAATTAAACAGTAATCAAATGGTAATTAAATGGTAATTAAACAGCAGTCACTCTACTGTACTTCTAGTAATTAAGCTAGCGTTTATACAATATGCTCTAGATCTGATACAGAATGTTGCTTACCTTGCTGTACATAACAAAGGCTGGGAAAGGGATCTCTCAACCTTGAAGAGTAACTGTGAGAGGTGTCTTACCTCAAGGGAGATCACTGCTGTACAGCCTGATGCCACACAAGAGAGCAAAATGGGCTCGGGGGTATGGATATTTATAGTGCAAAGTTTGACTCATAGTCAAACTCCCCTTCAGGGCATGTGCAGCCGTTTAGTTTTGTCTAGTTCAGATCAGGCTGGTACCATTAGCTTCTGATAAGACATGGCCTACATGCCTTCACATTCCAAGAAGGTCTGGCCTAGCGTACTTGCTCAAGGTCTGCACAGCAGGGCTGGCTCCAGTCAAGCCTCTTCTTCGGCAGTGCCTGGACCAAAGTGCTGTTCACTCAGCTGGGGTCAGTGCATCCATCAAAGGGCTGATCTTCCATTTCAGTAAACATGTAATAAATATAGTTCTGGCTGCTGCTTCTGTTCCTTCTATGAGGGGATGGACTACATTATGAGCATGACATTTTTGAGATGTGAGAAACAGCATAGTGGAAGAAAGCCCCCAGTAATAATGCCCATATAAAATTTTACTTGAAAACGTTGGAAATGATGAGGTTATGTTTCCAGAAGGTTTATGGGGAGCTAGAATCACAGCTGTTGTTACTGTTCCTTAGGCAGTTTGCTCCATTACGGCTTGCTTTTCCAGATAGCCAGGTTTTGCTGGATCTTGTGCTGAAATTAATTAATGATTCTTAATTGGGCCTTGCTTTAACTGTAAATAACGCCACAGAGTCTTCCCTACAGTAATATCTGTGACCTCGTCATTATTATACTTGTGCAGCAGTCAGAAATGTGACTAGAGCACTGTTCATTGTACCAGAGGTAACTAATTAAACTAGTTCTGGTGACCTTGTGGTGAGTCTGTGTGAGGTGTTCCTCCAGCTCATGGAGTGAGTACTTGGTATCTCTGGTAGTGTTATGCAGCTTGTATGGTGTTTTCACTGTCTGGTTACATGAACTAGCTAATATCAAACTGGATCAGATATGTCTGCTGTCTATTCTGGTAGCTGTGGCAGTGTACAGTGAAAAGAAACGTTCAAAATAGAAGATAATGTGAGAGCTGCTTTCTTGCAGGTCTTTTCATTTGTGACACATTTACATGTCAGCTGAGCTACTGAACTTTGGTTTGACATTGAGTGATAAATAATATCAGAAACTGATATGGAAAACATGGCATTTTTCCTAATCTGGGAAAGTTATTTAACCTTTCTATGCTAGAGTTTTTTCTGTCTAAAAAACTAGAAGTACTAATTTCACAAGTGAAAGCTGATCCAGCTTCCAAAAGAAGCAATTCTGCTTACTGCACACTTCCATCCCATGTCGACACAAGTCTGCAGTGAACTTTGTTAGGAGAGATGATCAAGGTGAAAAGCAGGATGACTGGTTCTCATCTGGATCTGCTCCATGGGCAAGCTGCCAGTGTGGTTGGACAGACACTTGAGCTGACAAGGGAAGAGACACTGGAGGTGGGAACTAGTGAACACAAAGCAGAGCAGCTTTTTGTTACCCCAGTAGCAGTATGAATAGGATTCAGGTCTCCATGCCTGTTCAGTGTGCTGTCTTTTGAGCTTTGTCACGGCCTTGGAGAGCTTTGGCTGGAAGACACATGGGAAATGCTAATTACTGTTTATTATTTGTAAAACACTTCCTAGCAAGATGACCTCCCTATATGCAATTTCAAGTTTATGTGGCATCATTAACTGTGGGGAAATAGCAATTATTCCAGTATTAGCCAAGAAAAATTAAGTACATTTCTGGTCCTTCAAGATGAGTGCCCATTGTGCTGAGTAGAGCCCCGATTTCCTCTGTTATTTATGTCTCTCAGAAAGACGGAAGACAGGAACAGCCATTTGCTGTAATAAGTGGTAAGAACTGTTTGTTTATTGTCCTTACTTTATATTGGTATGGTTTTTGAAAAACAGTATGTCTAAACGATAAAGATAGCTACTTGCTCACCTTGCCCTGGCTGCTGTGCTCTGGAAACAAGTGGAGCTCTTCAGAGAGAGAAAGAATGGATTGATTCAGTCATTTTTGCTTATTCAGTCTCATGCAGCAGTTCTGGGTTTTTTTATTTAAAGAGGTACTTTGTCCTTATTCTAATAAAAGATTTGCTCTAATAAAACAAAGCTATGGATACTGAAACTATTTGATATCTTCTGGTGGGGCAGTTCTGCCTTGAGGCTCTGCCCAACTCCAGGCTGTGCAGTTCATGGGTCAGGGTTTGACGATTTCCTCTTTCTCTAGGAGCTGGAGCCATGCATAGGGTGTATGCAGACTATTGCTAACATCAAGCTCGTCAAGAACTGCCAGGAGCCGAACGAAGGGGAGTGCCAGCAGTGCTACTGTCGTCCCATGTGGTGCCTCACCTGCATGGGCAAATGGTTTGCGAGCCGACAGGATCAGCAGCGCCCGGAGACGTGGCTGTCGAGCCAAGTGCCTTGTCCAACTTGCCGAGCCAAATTTTGCATTTTAGATGTTTGCATAATACGATGAGTAATAATTGGGTATGTTTTAACTTTTTAAATTTCATTATTTCATAGTGGGTTCGGTTAAAAGGCCTGTTAGATTTGTTTCTGAGACTTCATGTTCTACAAGGGTGCAAGCTCCAAAGCTTTCTTTTATAGTGTTGAAAACAGATGTAAATCTTTCCAGTTCCTCTCAGCTTTTACCTGTATATTTGGCTTTTATTCCATAGATGTCAGTTTCTGGAATTTTATTTAATCCAGACTTCACTTTCTTATGTCTTGGGTGGAATAAGGATATACCTTTACACTTACAGTAGTGTCTTCTTTTTTAAGTTTTACCATAGGTTAAATTCAATTTTTAAATCTAACTTGGTTTTTGATTCTTTAATAAAGGGCTAACTGAGAAAATTACTTTGGTTAGACTTCATTCATATTTTTGTTCTTCTTCAATCAATTTGTAAAGTTCTTATTAATCTTTGCAAGTGTTCACTGAATAAGTATACCAGTTGTGTTCCTTCTGCTGCTCCCCTCCACTTAGAAGGGGGACCATTTTCTGTAGGCTAAAGAATTTAATCCCTGAAGATGTGTAACCCCCACAGGGATCTTTTATTCCAGTAATCTGCTTCTAGCTTATTTTTTGATGGATGTATTTATTTCGGATAACAGAAAGACTCAGAAACATTCCCCATTTACCTACACTGCTAATGCTATGCTTTGTTAAATCTGTTGGTTGCTAAGAGCTGCATAGCTTAGGGTTTCAATGCTCTTTGGGTGATGGACATGGGTTTTTTATACATTTGAATAGAGTGCAGCAAACATCTGAACTATCTAAATACTCTGAAAGAATGCTCAGCTGTTCCAAAGCCCATAAGCCTTTTCTGAGGGGTAATTTTGCCTGTAAAATTGATGCCAGGATCACAAAGGTAGAAGTTGCCATGCTAGATGCCTAAGGAATGACTATCATTAACACAAGGTTTTTGGGCTTGCAATTCCAGGACTGATTGTAAGCAGTAGTTGCTGTTGTTAATATTCATGGGGTACTGATGCACACTTGATCTGATCTGCACCAAAATAATCTCAAAATTAAAATCAAAGCATTTTCCATACATTTAAGAGCGCCTTACTTCTAGGTCTAAATGCAATGCTTAGTCTTCTAGCTGTCCATCGCACCCTTAAATGAACAATTCTGTGGCGTACTGCTTGGTGGAAAGCCTCAAGCTGCTAGAGAATGTGTGAGTCGTTAACACTGACCTGTGCACTGCACGGGCTGAGATGCACGTATTTGCTTACTTAGGTTGTCCCTCCTAGAGGGGTGGTAACCTCAGGCAGACAGGTGGGTCAAACAGTGAGAGAAAGGAGTGTTTTAATGCTTTGGTCTAGGAGAAAAAAAGCCCTAAAATCTCTCACCTGCGTAATCAGAAGGATCTTCTTAGTAAATTGCCCATGCTCTTACAAGAAATCCCTCTCCAGCTTTCTTGTGAGCCCCGACAGGTATTGGAAAACTGCCAGTGATTACATGAAAACATCTTGATTGCCATGACAGGAAACTGTTTTGAGCAGGCACAAGAGGCAGGATGTTAAAAACAGCACAAGCACTGGAAGCACAAGCAGGAAAGATTCCATTAGTCTCAGCCCAGCCCAAATGGGTCGTGTGGCGAATGCACCAAACTGCACTCAGAGCCAGCCAGCTGGAATATGGTTACCAATGCAAGCGTTGCTTTGGAGTAGAGTAAGAAATTGAAACAGATTTGACAGCATCATTTGAGATAGGTTTTATTGTCGGTGTTGCTGTTTTTCAGTAATATGCACTTATAAAAGTTCAAAGTGTTTGGGTTCAAGGACATGAATTGCTTGAGGGTTGTTACATACTTAACATCAACTATGCAATTAACTATAGTACTTATTAATAAGGATGATTTTTCTGGTTTTCTTTACATGTTATTTTGGATTGTGTAGAGTGAAAATTGGACACTGAGACTGGTAGTATGTTTCCCAAAGAGATCTTAGGTGACAAGGATAGGATTGAGTTCCTGAGTTTCAGACAGATTTATTGACAAGTCTGAAAACTAATAAAAAAATCAAGGAGCTGCTCTGTGATTTAATTTAAAATACTTTCCAGGACTTCCATCTGTGGAAAAATTATGTGGAAGTTTGAAATGTTTTCTGCAGAGTTTTTTAACCTTGGGAAGATTCTTACAGGGCCAGGTGGTGTCATCAAACATGCACCTCCTCACACACAGCAGCCTTTACAAACAAGCATTTTGAACCCATTTCTTCTAGGGAGTTTACATAACATGGCACAGATAGAAGGGATGTTGTCCTTGAAACAGCTGCAGAAGAGAGGATAGGATTTTGGAGCTGTGGTTTTGCCGCTGACAGACACACAATTCCTACATCTCTTCTGTTTGGAATAAAAATATTTATTGTAAACATCCATAAAGTTAGGATGTAAAGGCCTTGGGAAACCTGGATAATAGATACATGTAGTTGCAGATGGTATTATACAATAAAAACAGGTCTGTTTCCAATAGTATCTCATGTAATAAGAACTTTAGTCTCCTGATTTCTTGCGCTGTGGAGTTGTTCTTTGCAGAAACCTACTTTGAATTAATTGGAAGATTTCCTTTCAGTGGAACTTTGTTTTTATTCATCTTACTGCTTTTGCCAATGTAACAGAATGACAAAGTAACAGCCGTAACTATGTAATATGCTTGCATCTTTTAATGGTAGTGCTCTGTCCACAGAAGTGCCTCTTATAACATAGTAATAATTACCAAAATCAAATTATGATTTATGTTAATAATAGTGCCTGGCTTAAATTCCTTAAAACAAACATTTTTTTTCCCCTCAAGTTTAAATTCTCAAAATGATCTGGCATGCCTTCAAAGTTTGTAAGCTGCTTCTGTGTTAAAACCCCAACTTGTTGAAAATCCATAGTCTTAGAGACAGCAGGAGGAACTGTGACCTCTCCCTGCAGAGTCATGTGATATTTATCTGGAAGAAATCACTGATTATGAAAATAATACAGTACAAAAATAGGCATTTATTTTCATGATAGGTTCAGATCATCATCTGAAGAACCACATGTATGTATAGGACTGTTTCCAGAGAAGATCTCTACTTGCAGTAACAAGAAATACACTGTTTCTTAAACACGAGGATAGGGTTTAGAATTGGTCTTTTTATAGCACTTTTCTAAGGAAAAAACAATAAAACAAGTAATGTCATGGGCTAAAATACTTAAAAGAATTTTCTTCACTTATCAGTGATTTAGTGTTGCTTTTTCAGCTGTGTGTATGCTTTTCCACATCACTGACTTGTGGGTGGGCAATGTTAGTAATCTGAAGTACGTCATATAAATGTAATGTCATTACAATAAGACAATCTATCTGTGGGTGCACAATGTCAGTATAAATACTCTGTATGTGTGTATACATGTAGAGCCCAAATGTCCCCATATGCTGCAGCTGAAGAGGTGTTTCTGAAAACATGGGCTGTGGCTGTATTATTTCCACAGTTGTGTTATTTCTGTAATTGTAGCATTCCAAAAAATACTGGCAAAATGTTATCCACTGATTTTTTAGGTTAACATAGTTTGCTAAAACAAAAGGCATTTTGACCAAGCAGGATGTATTTTAAATCCATTATATGAATGCAGTCGTTTACCACAAGGCTTGCCATAACTTGAAACCAGAATACCAGGTTATTACGTGATTTCTTCGGTATATTTTTATTGTGTTGAAACTTGGTAGACTGCAGCTATGCACCATTCCAGCCAGGCTACACCTCAGTAAGACATAACTGACTGAAGTTCTGAGCACCGTTTCTTAAGAGATGTTGACTTTGAGGTATAAACATTCAAGCTTTTACATCCATTACAATGTATTTTCTTCCAAAGATGTATTACAGAGTTTGTTGTTCTTTTGGTTTTTGCCTTTTTTTTTTTTTTTACCAGGATAGCTAACCTGGTTTAAAACATACAGAATTATCTGGATAGCCTTTAAGGAAAAGGCTTAATGAATGCTTAATTAGTTAATCTTAAAACTCTCTGAAGAGCTGAATAAAAATACGATTGATTTTATGTATGACTTGTGTTTTTCATTTTAAATTTACCTTTACCAGTTTATATAACTTTATATGGGTGGGAATCAGTCTGAGTTATCTGTATACAACATTTTAGCTGAGAACTGAATACAAAGGGGGCTTAAATGCTCTTGAGGGCACACGTGATAATTCCTTCTTTGATGAATTTTCCTACTCTAACCCGAATGCAGAGGGTGTCATAAATGAAAAGTGTGTGAAATCTATGTATATATCTGAGGAAAAACCACCAACGAAAAACCCCACAAACAAAAAAAAACCACAAAACTTTCCATAACTGGCAAAGGAGTGACACTGAATGTCATGAAATCAGCACGGGCAACAACTAGGAGTTTGTCTTTCCAGGGTCTCACATGTCTCTATATAAAACAAGTGGCCAAGGTATGCCAACAAGCACAGGCAACACAAGAACGCAGCGTATGCCGTTAATGGTATAAGATGCGCACCCCGTTTCTCACGGCTGTATGCTGTGGGGGCTGTACGCCCCTTTGCGGAGCTGATTTACCTCACAACATCCACCAGACGACCAGGTTGACCAACACCGCAGACCACTTGTCCTCCATCACCCCCACCACGGCCTGCGGC